CGAAGCCAGCATTGTCTCGGGCTTGCTGGGTAAGTGCATAGTGAGATGTGAATGTGTGAATGGATGACCAGGTGGTGGCCCTGCAGATGTTTAGAACTGGCACATGGGCCAGGAAGGCCGCTGCCAAGGCTTGTACTCCAGTTCAGTGGGTGGTTACAATCGCCGGTGGAAGAACTTTTGCCTGATGATAGCAAAATCGGATGCAGGCAGTGATCCCTGATTAAATTCTCCAGGTGGACACTGGATGACCTTTCATCCTATTGACCACGGTGACTTGCAGAATGGCTTGGTCCTCTCGATGTAGAAGGCTTGCAGGGAGTGCAACCTACGTTCCTCCTCAGACTTATGAGGCTTCAGGAAGAAGACTGACAAAAATATGTCCTGGCTCATGTGAAATTGCGAAACCACCTTGGGCAGGAATGCTGGATGCGGCTGCAGCTGGACCTCGTCCATGAAAAACATTGTATAGGACAGGCCCGAGGTAACTGCCCAAATCTCAGAGACCCTTCAGGCAGAAGTGATCGCCACCAGGAATGACAGCTTGCAGGAGAGCAGACGAAGGGAACAGGATGCCAAGGGCTCGAAGGGAGCTCTCTTGAGCTTGGCAAGCACCAGATACAGGTCCCACAGAAGGACTGGGTCCCAGACCTGGGGGTAAAGTCACTCCAGACCTTTCAAGAACCAGACTGTCATGTTATGAGCGAAGACCGACCTGCCCTGGAACGGAGGGTGAAAAGGTCCACTTAGCCGCCATATCAGCCTAATTGATGGAGCTTGAGATGCACAAGGTAGTCCAGGATCGACTGCAGCAAGGCCTGCTCAGGCCTAACCCCTAGGACCGTGGCACGTGAAGAGTTTCCATTTGGCCAGGAAGGTTGCTCTAGTGGAGGGCTTTTTACTCCCCAGTAGGATCTGCTGGATGTGGGCCGACCACTCCTGCTCTTCCGCAGTTAACCATGCGGCAACCAAGCCGTCAGGTGCAGCGCTGCCAGATTCGGGTGCAGGAGCCTGCTGTGATTCTGGGAGAGAAGATCCAGCCGGAGGGGCAGCTGCAGCAGGGACGTCGCCAACAGGTCCATCAGTGTGCCGAGGCCAAGCCAGGGCCATCAGGTTAACCTTGGCCGTGTCCATTTATCTTCACAAGGACTCTGTGAAGCAACGACACTGGTGGGAAAGTGTACATCAGAGCCCCGACCACGGAAGTAAGAAGGCGTCCGACAAGGAGCCCGTTGATCCCCCGAAATGAGCAGAACAGGCATTTCCTTTTCTGTCAAGTTGTGAACAAGTCGACCTGGAGAGATCCCCACTTTCACAAGATCCCGCTGATCACCTCGGGGTGGAGTGACCATTCATGGAGAGACGAGAAGGCTCTGCTGAGGCAAGCTGCTAACATGTTCCTGGTTCCAGGGAGGTGTGCTGCCACGAGATGAACAGCATGCTGCACACAGAAGTCCCAGAGCTGGAGAGCTTCCTGGCAGAGGGCTGGTGACCTGGCTCCGTCTTGCTTTTGTTGATATAAAACATCATGGCGATGTCATCCATCAGGATTTGAACCACTTTGCCTTGTATGTGGGACTGAAAACCCTGACAGGCCAGGCAAACCGCTCTGAGCTCCCTGACATTTATGTGGAGGGAGCGGTCAAACCCCGACCAGCGGCCTTGTGTACTGAGCTCACCTAGATGGGTCCCCCAGCCCAGGTCCAAGACGTCGGAAACCAGAGTTAGCGATGGGACCACCAAGGGAACTCCCTGCAATGCCAATGTGGGGTCCAACCACCATGCCAGTGATGACTGGGCGTGGTCCGGCACCTTGACTACCAGATCGAGGTCATGCCTGTTGGGGATATAGACCGATGCCAACCAAGCCTGCAGCGGCCCGAGGTGGAGCTGGGCATAACGGACCGTGTAAGTACAGGCAGCCATGTGGCCTAGCCACCATAGGCAAGTGCGGGCAGTGGTGAGCAGGTGGCCCCTTATACAGGAAATCACATCCGAAATGGCTTGGAAAAGGGCCTCCCGAAGGAAGGCTCTGGCCCGTGTGGAGTTGAGGACTGCCTCAATAAACTCTATTCGTTGCACTGGTATGAGGGTCGATTTCTTTTCATTCACTAACAGGCCCAGGTCGTGACTGGTGGAACGCACCAGATCAAGAGACTGTTCTGCATTTGATCCCGCGACTTGCCCTTGATGAGCCAATCGTTGAGATAAGGATAGACCTGGGCCCCCCCAATGCCTCAAGTAAGCGACTATTGGGGCCAGGCATTTTGTAAATACTCGCGGTGCTGAGGAGAGGCCAAGGGGAAGCGCAGTGAATTGGAGCCAATGAGAGGATGGAAACCGGGAGGGCAGTGCTGGCCATCTGTGGTGGTGAACCGGTGACCTGGGCTAATGCGGAAACCAGGGACTCAGCGACAAGGAGTTCTGCCTCAGCTCCAGAAACTGGCAGCATTCACTCGCCTTCTGGGAGGCTTTCATGGCTGGCTTGCCCTCGTAGAGAGCCTTTGCCAGGTCCATCGCCATACACGATGTCCTTTGCTTTCTCAGCGCTGGGAGCGGGGAAGGCGTTAACTCCGCCATAGGTCTGGGTCCCCTACCGACAGGGCCGGCTTTAGGAAGTGCGGGGCCCAATTCGAACAGTTTCGACGGGGCCCCGACAGGGATGACTAAAAAAAAGACCACATAAAAAAAACACGCAGGGCTTGTACTAACCCGGCCGCGCTCCTAGTCTTTGGCGGCAGGTCCTTCACTCACTCCAGGTCTTCGACGGCACTGAAGGACCCGCCGCCAAAGTGCCGCCAAAGACCCGGTGAGTAAAAATTAAAAAAGGTGCCTCTAGCCAGAGAAGGGATTCTCTGTCACTTGCCCCCCACTCTGGGCGGCCCTGCCACTGGGCGCGGGGCCCTCTTAGGCGCGGGGCCCGATTCGGGGGAATTGGTGGAATAGGCCTAAAGCCGGCCCTGCCTACCGCTCCCTGGTATCAGTGGCAGATCCCTTGGGGAGTAGGAGGTCCCCTCAGGGACATGTCCCCCTGGGGCTCTGGCATGGGCCAGTGGCCAAAACAGGGTCCTTGACCCAATGCCCCTTGGTCCATCTTGCTCAGTGCTGGTTCCTGCTTTTTAGATTTCTTCTTGGGGATCAGTGCCAGGTAGAGCCCGGTGCCAGGGGTGCACTACACACTGAGCCCAACGTGCTGGGAGTTGCATCCGGCTGGGACAGCTCTGAGGCTGGAGAGCAGTCTCCATGAGGAGGGCCTTCAAACGCATGTCGCATTCTTTCTGTGTCTTGGGACAAAAGTTCTTACAGATGCAACACTTTTCTTTTACCTGGGATTCCCCCAGGCACTTCAGACAGCTGCCATGCAGGTCACTAACAGGCAGGGCTTAAAACCCGGTGACTGGGGCATGCCCTGCCTGGGGTAAAGTCCCCACCGGGACCCTTAAGTACTGCAGTTAGTCCGTAACAGCTACTTACTAACTAATCTACAATAAACAAAACTATTTACAGCTGTAACTCAAAGGGAAAGAACCACTGACCACCTGCGAGGCACTTGGACCAACCAGCACAGGTGGCAAGAAGGAACTGAGAGGGCGTAGGGCCGGTGGTGCCTGATGTACTGATGCATGAGTGTGGCACTCCAGAAGGCACCACAGCCAACCCTACGGATACAGCTAAGGCAAAAGTCTCTGACAACTGTGCATGTGAATGCGCATACACCCAGAATGGAATAGACGTGAGCAAGCACTCGAAGAAGAACCAATGAGATTAAGGCTAATTCAGAGCTGTGCCGGCCTAAGGCCATACTTTGCATTTCAAATCAGAGTTCAATAATCCTCCTCCACTCTTTCAAAATTCACAGTGACCGAATATATGTACACACATTACATACAGAGGTAACAGTTCAACTGTGTTGTATCTGAGTTTGGTGGGAGCCCGTAAAGTGTACCCAGCATACAAACAAACCAACCAACCAACCTCTTCTCCAACCCATTCACTGTGATGTCGATTTGGCAGTGGAAAGCCTCATTTCATGCAAATTGTGGGATAATCGGAATAGAAAAATTAGAAGATGCTCATTGTAAGACAGCTGCCTTGATGTCACTGCAGCGCCTTTCGCAATTAAGAATCCAAACTGGATGCAAAGGCAAATTGATTAAAAATACATCTTTTAAGCGACTTGGGTAGCAAAGTTCCAGTGCAAGAGACGGTCACCAAAACTTAAATATCACTCTAACAAACATTTGCAAACTAGCCCCAGGAACTGGGATTTACAGTTTGGAGTTATACAATACTGTACAATAGTCATTGGTCGTTAGTATTCAATTATCCATATACTTGTACATGTTAATTTGTTTGTTTCTTTTTTAAAGAGACGAGAAACAACAGTGGAGTGAGCTGTGTTCTCACGCTGGGTTCTCAACTAGGCTTGCACCAGCCAATGCACTCACAGTGTACATCAAGTATATGATGTCCTAACTATACACACTGGTTGGTTCTTTGCATACATAGCTATGTGCATGCAGGCTTCTAAAAATCAAGTTCTCAGACATGCAACATAAGTATCCCACTGTCAGCATAAGCACAGGAAATGCTTTCAAGAGGATAGCTAACAATATAACATTGACTCAGTTAAAACAGACAAATCAAAGCAGAGTAAACGGTTTTGTGCTCACATTTCAAGTTTCGGAATAAATGACTGTCAACATTTTTTCTAGTATGGTATTTATAACGCCAATGGAAGGCACATTCCACTGGAAAAAAATACGAGGAAAAGCTGAAATTCACAGAGTAGGAAAATAAACGCTAGTCATAGTTGTGCCTTTCAGAAGTTCATAATAAATAACAAAAAGTTAGAATGTGCAGTCCTTATATTAAAGCTAAGATTTATTTCCAGGTTCATGATATGCATTAAAAAAAAAAAATCAAGAACAACCCTGGCTGACTTTCCCATAACTGGGAGCTTTTTGGCTAAGCAACTGTCAATTCATTGTAAGGAACACAGGTATTGTCAGAAAATATTTTAATTATTTACAGAATGATTATCTGAATGATTACACAAAATACAGATGAAAATGTACACCTCTTATAGATTCAACAAAAAGATATGCTGAGCAAATTCACTGCTGATAATATAACTAAAGCACTTAGAATAAGGCGACGGCACCAAACATCAAAATCAAATCATATAACTATTGAAAATATAAAGTACAAATTGAGGTTGTGTGTTTCTTTTAAAGAAAAATAAAAAAAACAGTGGATTTGGAATGGCTTACGCTTTTGATACCATTACACCAAAAATCAGTGGACATCATTAAAGTTACTTCTATTTCACCATATTTAAACCGGAATGGAAAGATCTGTTCTCGGGCTAAGATTCTGAAGCATTGAGCAGCTGTTTTCTGAGTGCATCTGTGTATGTTTTGGATTCTGCATCTTACAAAATGCATCACCCACTTCTGAGTGTATGATTTCAAACGGTGCTGAAATCATGCAAAAATCTTCCCTAAATCCTAGAGATAAGAAATACAGACTAACAATACTCCACTCCATTTTGCTGCACATACATTTTGAAAATCCCGTACAGATGAAGTTTTAGAAAAGGGATTTTGATCCCTGGTTTTCAAACTCTGACCACGCATCACTCAACTCCATGAAGATCATTTTGGCATACTGTTCATAAGGCTGTCCTGTGGCCTGTAAACAAACAGAGCAGGTATTAGACGCTTACTGCAGAAGTCTAAAGAATGTGAAGAACTGCAGCAGGGCTTGAGAAAAAACTGCATTTTACGAACAGTGAAATTCACACATTCTGTTTACTTTTATTTGTTCTATAGTGCTGTAAGTTTGTGTGGCTTTTTCATCCAGAACCTGTAATTCCCTTTTCCCCAAGTCCCCATATATACCAAAGTCAGAGTTTAAATGGCACTGAGGGATTATAATTTGCCTGCATCGCTTCAAATTTTTAGTCTAATTTGCCCAATGTAACTGAAGTCATACTAAAGTTTCCATCTTGTATTAAAGGAGTTATAGCGAATGATCTTCATTTTCAGCAAGTGGCTCTTTAAAAATGAAATCAAAACCAATTTAGGTAGAAACTACTGCACAGCAGCTCTGACATTAGTACCCCACAATGCAACTGAAGAGCAATTTCCAAGAACGCTGTTAAATTCTTTTATGCTGGAGTCCGACTTTCCCAGTTGAACATGCCCTGCTGACTATGAACACTCCTAGACTTTTTACCTTCAAAGAAATACACCAAGTCATGGAGGAAGTTCTGCTGTCGCAGCACGGACCTCAATCTAAATTGGTCTGGGGAACCAGTGCGTGCACAGCAATACTGCAGATACACCACCTGCTCCATTTCAACTCATCCTGGCTCAGATGGGCATAAACAAGAGGCCCCGTGTATTCTGCAACCCCAGACGTTGCTGCGGGATTATGCTCCAGAATCGGAGTTTTCTTTTTTTTTTTAAATTCCTTAATTCTTGCTCTCGTTGTTAGAAAAGCATGAAAATGTGAACCAAGTGCAAGAGATGCAATGTTATCTTCCTACATCTGTACACAGCCACGAACAGGAGCCCTGAAAGGGGTGAACTGCCCTAATACTTTTACAGGAGTCAAGTAACAGAGGGGTAGCCGTGTTAGTCTGAATCTGTAAAAAGCAACAGAGGGTCCTGTGGCACCTTTAAGACTAAACAGAGCTTTCGTGGGTGAATGCCCACTTTGTCGGACACAAGTAATGGAAATTTCCAGAGGCAGGTATAAATCAGTATGGAGATAACGAGGTTAGTTCAATCAGGGAGGGTGAGGTGCTCTGCTAGCAGTTGAGGTGTGAACACCAAGGGAGGTGCTTCTGTAGTTGGATAGCCATTCACAGTCTTTGTTTAATCCTGATCTGATGGTGTCAAATTTGCAAATGAACTGGAGATCCGCAGTTTCACTGTACAATCTGGTCGTGCTGAAAATTTCCGGTAAGATGGCCACCCTTAC